ACAATCTCAATAATAATAATACGTTCATCAACATCAAAATACACTTCTTTATGAAATCATATAATGCGACTCAATACTATGCAAATGCATGTGGTACCATTGGAGCAGAACTCCCATCTCAAAAATCTGCCAATTAATAGAGGCATCAACAAGGCATATCCTTCATCTCAAAATTTTCCAATCCAGGCCATCTCAACGAGCATAAGCTCCATCTCAAAAATGCAATGTATGCGACTCATCATGAATGTAATGTCAACACTCAATCAACCACATCTCAATCATCTCAAAACAACAACATCTCATAAGCATCTCAGAACAATAACATCCCATAAACATCTCAGAACAACAACATCTCATAAACATATCAGAACAACAACATCTCGTAAACGTCTCAAAACAATAACATCTCACAAACATCTCAATTATAGCATCTCATAAACATCTCAAAATAATTTATTAAACATCATTTATTTATCAAACGTCATTGGTTCATCATAATTATCAAACACAACTTTAATGAGCATGTCTCACTATTAACTCAGTTGTATATCAATACTACAGTAATCCCTATTGTTATTCTGCTACTGTACATCATTATTGTCACTAATCCTATTGTCGTATTTCTAACAGCAGTCTCTAACATCTCATATTCATCGTTCTGTCCAAAATCCAGCATAACTGTCAATCACATGAATTAATTCTAAATCTTAGATTGGTTACTAGGATTACACCTCTTCATCATCATTTAAATCATCTAGAATAAAGTTCATCGCGTTAGTAAAACAACGCTTCAATCGGCATCTCAAACAGCATCCTACAACTCAAATTACAGCAATTTAAAACTGATTCTGTCAAAATTTAGTCAGTATGGGTCGACACAAAACCCTTGGGATCGACGTGTAATGCTTCTCCTACACAACATGAGTCGGCACATTCTCCTCATGGATCGACTCATCCTGGTCCTAATCACAACATGTATCGATGCATGCACCTTACCGATCGACTCATCCTGAGTCTTGCAACTAGCGTGTATCGACGCAAGCCCTGCATGCATCGACTCATCCTGAGTCTAACCTCGCCCATATATCGAGTCATCCAGCTTGAGGTCAACACATCCTGGTTCCTGCTGCATAAATTCTGCGATTTCCTCTATATTTTCACTACGGGAATTCATATTACAGCCCTACAAACCTTATTATAAACATAATAAATCATCACCTAACATTAACCTATAATACTACATCGATTACACAATATCATAACATCATTATTCATCAAGAATTCATCAATATTCATCATACATCATCCAATTCAAGAACAAAAACAACAATCCTCTAACCCCGCATATCAAACATCATGAACCCAATTATAAAGTTGGAACCCCACCCTTACCTTGGATTGAAGGTCGCTCTACAATCTTCCGGGTTGAATCTTTGTTCTTGCCGTTTCCTTCTATTTCCAGCAACTTCATGTTCTTCACAATCCTTATTTTCTCTTCTTACTGCTTCCTCCTTCTATTCTTCTCACAAATGATAAAATAACCTAATATTATTATATTATTCCTTATTGGGCTCAAAACCTACATCCCCTTATTACTTCCACTCACACCATATAGACCCACATTAAATAATATTAGCTTCTAACATTATTTCACCAAACAGTAATATTATACCTCTAATATTATTATTTCTCCACTTAATAAAATCAATTCAATTATATAACACTTCTTCACAAATATTCTAAAAATAATTTAATGAAATAATTAATTAAATTACGGGCATTACATTGTCGAATCAGCAATCTTCTCGAACACACTTTCATCCATACACTGATGGATATAGAACAGAGCTTTCTGGTCCCTCTTCCTCATAACTCTCTCAGCAGTTTTCTGTTCTTCAGTTGCATCTACTGCAGCTGATACATAACCATTTGTAACCAGATCCAGAACATCTTGCGCACCAAACAACACATGCATTTGTATCATCCATCTGTTTCAGTTTTTGCTATTAAAAACTGGGAGCTTGGTGTTCAAACTACTGCCTCCACTCATTTTAAACCTTGCACAAATTTTTAGATCTTCAAACACACTGTTTCCCAACCCACAGAATCAGATTCTGTTAAGATTTTGTTCAAGATTTCAACAGAATAAACAATGAACCAAAATCAAACACACAGCTCACAATCACTCGTGTTTCTCAGGAAAAACAGAATCAAGTGCTCTAAATATCAATTTGTTGGTGCAAGGTAATGAAGTGAGAGAAGAATAATGAACAAAGGAATGATAACAAAAGATTAGTGTTGTATATCAAAATAGAGAAGATAAAGTAGGGTACAATATTGATAGCCTAGGATAGCATATTTATACTAAATATTAAAAATGGCAAAATGTCTTATTAAAAGATAAACATTGAGAATTGTATATATTAACTAAATTATCTTTCTAATAAAATTAACATTTAATAATATAGTTTTATTATTATTTAAAAGTTAATAATATTAAATAAGAAATATAAATTAGTATAATAAATGTTTAAGTGTAAGAGATATATGAAATTGAAATCAAATTGTAATTGAAATAATTTAAGTACTTTGTATTACAAATATTTGTTGCACGCTAATAAATAAGAAGTTTTCTTAGCCTGGTGATTCAATGCTCCACTTTCTTTACAAGGGTCTTGAGTAAATAGTTATCATTAATACTAATTTACACCAAAGATCATTTAAGACTACTTAGATGGAATACACGTTCTCTTTTAATTTCATATTTAAATTTGAATTCAATTTTTATTTTAATTATCATTATCTCATTAAAAATATTTTTTATTTTAATCATCACTGCCTATATTTTCAAAAATGACATGAAATTAAAAAGATTCTAAAAATCGTGAAAAAAAATGAACGAAAAATGTTAAATTTTATATTAGGAGACTAAAAATTAAAATTATTAAAATAGAAAATCAAAATATATTTAAGTCAAAATAGTTATCTATTTAATTAAATTTAAATAAAATACATTTTTTTTAAAAGTATATGTTTTTCCCTGAATTTCTCTACAAATGAAGTAAGAGGTTAGCATTTCACTATGTAGTTACACAACTAAGCCCCCATTTCATAAACCAATAAATCTTATCACCATAACAAACATACAAATTGAGTAATCACAAAATTATGAGTATTAGCAATGACCTTAAATTAAATGAAGGTTGGAAATTAATTCCTTTAGACAATGTTTAGTACAATAATGGCATCAAGGATTCCTAAAGCTTTTTTTGTTGAGCTGTCTTTGCTAGGTGTATATAATAGTGACCTAAGTCCAACCATTCATGTTCATTGATCTTGAAAATCAAGTAGTTCTCACAAAAAGCAAAAGTTAACATGTGGAAGGTAGCTTTTAACATAGGTACTACATCCAAAGTGCTTTATAGGACATGTTGCATGCTTTTAGCAATAATAATTATGTATGTCAATATGTCTTGTCCAAATCTACCTTCATCATGTATATCATTTTCTTGCTTCTTCTTTTATCTCCTAGTCTCTTTCTTACTTTCATGGGGTTCATGAAAATTCGGCTTCACATGGCCTCAAATGAATACATATATCGATCACTAATTGTCCCTTAAATATATTGTATTTAAAAGTGATTTTGAAGATTTAAAATTGACTTTCAATATATTTTGAGGTTTTAAAATATTATAATTTATTTTGTCCTAATTTAAAAAATATATTAATTTATAAATATTAATAATTATTTATATTAATTACATAAATATAAATAAATATCGTCAACAATTATTTAATCTAGATCGACCTTTGCATTAATTATTTTATTTTGTTTTAATTGATTATATACTTTATTTCACGTTATATTTTTTTATAGATTTATGTTATTTAAATTTAGTGTAAATTACTTTCGGGTGCACAAAATCGAACATAAATTATTTTATATAAATTTATTTTCAATAAAAGTATATTAGTTTTTTTCTTCATTATTCCCCTAATCCTCTAATCATTGGACCACAACCATGAAAATAAATTAAATATATAAGAATGGAGGGACCATTAAATTATGATCCATATGCATATCTACTTCTATCTTAGTTAAAGCAATTAAAAAGTTCACAAGAGCCATTACCCTACAAGACTAATCTTGAAAAGTGAACACCCACCTAGTTAATAACATTAAAGAGAAATAGCATATGCATTTTTCAGTGAACCTAAAAAAAGTGATGTATTGTTTCAACAACCCATCTTCTTAATTCATTGGCAAGGGGTCAAGAGATGGTGGCTTGGCTTCCATCCAGAAAAGTTCTATGGCAAAATAATTTTATGGTCCATTGACAATAAATAAATAATATTATTCTCAATATTTTAAAATTTTGTAACGCTGAAAATATAATAGACTTCAACCTTTTAAAATTTTGTCGATCATTGTGATTCTGAATTTGAATGATTAGTCTCTATATTTGTGCATAGAAGATATATTTTTCATATTAAATTATAATATATCATTTTTGTAACATAATCATGTGATGAAAATAATGTCAATCATAACAGATGTAGCTGCATTTCTATCAGAAATAATGGAGATAAAAATGTATATTGATCTTTCTCCAAATTTTTAGGCATACAAGTTTATATATCACTTTAGAAAGAGCATAAACCTATTTAAAATAAAGGAACATAAAGTAAATGGGAAAAAAAGTTTACACTTACTCTGCCTCAACTCAAAGCACAAAGCTTCAATTAAGAACTTATTTAATAAGACCATATCAAATAAGTTTTTATGTCTTCATTGCTTTTACAATCCAAGAGAAAATCAAGATAATCTATACAAAAGAGAAATGAACTTTATTTTCCATTTCTTTTGCGACAAATTATTTTGAAAGCTTAATGCAAATAACCTTGTCTGAGAAAGTCACAGTTCTGATGTAATCTTTCTCGAGTTTATTGAGTATAAGCAACTGAAAATCGTTGTGCAGTGCATGAAGACACTGATCTTTTTAGAGAGTAGGAGGGATCCATATATAACCGTGTGTTTGAACATATCCAGCTTTTTCGAGCAACTCATCGGCTTCTGCAGGACCTCTGCTTCCAGATTTGTAAGGGATTGACTTGAGTTCACCCTTATCAATTCTGTGCAAAAGTGGTGTAAAGATCTCCCAAGATGCCTGCATTAGAGACAAAATACAAACATTAGTCAATCAACCAGACCCTTCTTATTATTGAATCCTTCAGGTGCCAACAATTTTGGTGTTGAATTAGTCCACACAAAAATTTGCTTTTACTACAATTGGACCCTTCTAGTGGACGGTGGAATTAGTCTCCTGGATTAGTTGGTCTTTAGGTCGGATACCGAGTTTTTCAGAAAAACAAAACAAAACCCTTTTGCAATAACATATGAATTGAAGTATATACTGATCTATACCTTTAACTCGTCTCGGCGAACAAAATGTTGTTGATCACCTCTAATTCTGCAAAACATATTCCGATTATCATTAGGTGTAAATTTAAGTTCATTTATTTCAAACAAATGAGTTGATTGCTAAGCATGTGTTTGGTTCTACAGTGTGTAATTGATTTTGTAAAAATTGATTTATTTAAAAGTGAGTTTATGGTAAAATGATTTATGTGTACATACATTCAAGTAAAATAGTAAAAGTGAGCTGAAGAATAAATTTGAGTGTAAAACATGTTTAGAGGCAAAAGCTAGTCTTCTTAATCACTTTTGGCTATCTCAAAACTGAATCCGCAAATGTAGTAGTGATTCATGCAATTCAAATTCTTTTTATATACCCTTTAGCTTCTTGAAATTTGAGTGTTTAGAAGCAACAAAAATGTGGTAAACATGAACTAGGAAAAGATATCATACGTGTCGAGAATTAGACGCTCATAGGCCTCTGGTATGGTTACCCCCTGGTAGCGTTGTCTGTATGACAAATCAAGTTCACTTTGAGCTGTTGACATCTCCAGACCAGGTTGCTTGACCTACACGAGACATCGAACAAGTCAGTCCACTCTAAGAAACGCCATTTAATTATTTTTGCATTTCATGATGTTTGCGGAAGATAACCAAATGTTAAGCACCAACATTGCCAAACAAATTCGAAAAAAATTAATTCTCGCTTTTATATCTTTAGTTTACCGCTTTTAATAAACAAGTATTGGATGTCATAACTCTTAATAAAAATATTTTCCTTAATGAGACAGATAGAAAACTGTCATTGGATGACCAGGTCAAACAAATGGCAGGACATTTCTCGTTACAGAGCTATGTAGCATCAACAATTTAGATTGAAGGTGTGTCTGATGACCGACACAGACACATGTTTATTCAATTTTCTCAAATTAATATTGGTGTCAACGTGTCAGTGTAGTATCAGGTGTCCGTGTTAGTGATTCATAGTTACAAAGTTCAGAAACTCAGGATGATGACATACCGTAAGCTTCATGTACATAGCTTCGGAAGGTTGCAGGCGTATAACAAACTCATTTCTACCCTGCTTCTGACCTGAACAGGAAAAACCATGCAATAAAGTATTAACATGCATTGAAGACAAATCATTCAAGTAACAAAAAAGGTAAGGTGCCTTACACTTGAAAATATCGCCAGGAACATCCTTGAACTGAATCCGAATGTCAGCTTTTCTTGATCCTAGGGCTTTCCCTGCTTTTAGTATGAAAGGAACACCTACAACCAAAAAGGAGATTCGAGTGAATATATCTCAATTATTTGATTGATCAAATGCAAAGAAAAATACAACAGAGATCATAAAAACTGCATGCCCGCTACTCAAGCACATACACGAATGATTCACAAATGGAGGTCCAAACATTTCCCCTAAGTCTAAAATGCAAATTTGTGATTTAGGAAAAAGAATGCTGAAGCTTTTTACACACCCTCCCATCTTTCGTTGTGCACACGCAGAACAACAGTTGCAAAAGTTGGAGTGTTGGAATTGTCAGGTACAGTTGGATCATCTCTATAGCCCTCATACTGTCCAAGAACAACATCATTGTCTTTAATAGGAAGTACGGATTGAAGAACCTGCATTTTTAAATCAACCAGAAAATTATATTGTGGCAAAAAGTTTGAACAAAAGTTAAATTATAGGTAAACATACAAGGACTACTGGAAATTATCAAATAAATAGTAATAAAAAATGCCTTAACAAACCTTCACTTTCTCATCCCGGATGTGCTCAGGCCTGAGAGAAACAGGCTTTTCCATAGCGACCAAGCAAAAAATCTGAGTTTGTGGAAAAACAGTAAGATTCACATATTAGGTTCATATATGTCTGGTGTAAAATCACGAAATCGCCATAGCCCATAGTGCTAGTTAATAACAGGCCTTAACAAGGTCATATCATGATATCACCAACAAAAAAAAAATAATCAAAATTTATAAGTATGTTTCAGACTAAAATGAACGCATCACCTGTAGCAGATGGTTCTGAATTATATCCCGGATAATTCTGCCAAATAAAAATAAAATACATTATTTATTAAGGCTTTCTGATTATAATGATAAAAATTATTACAAAATACAATAACCAACCAACCCCAAGTCCTATTCCACTAGGTGGAGTTGGCTGCATGAACCAGAAGCAGTGTTGTCCATGGTGGATGGCGGTCCATGGCGGAGAGCCAAAATCCTGTCATACCGGACGCTTGGCGACGCCGTTATAGCGGATTATGGCGGAAAAAACCCCGTAATATCAGCCGATGTTTACTATTGCGGCGAGTCCAAAAACCGCCATGTATATCCGCTATAGTGCCACAATCACGGATATTTGATAGCACTGACCAGAAGATGCCATAATTATCTATAATGGACTAATCATGTGGATAGGTCATTTACATCAAAGTCTCTCTTGAGGGTTTGGCCTATATTTTTTTCTTGGTCTCCCTCCATGTTTATTGAACTATTCATTTGGGCAATTCACCTTTCTGAAGTTTTTATAAGTCTTCCTCACATGTCGAAACCACCTAAGTTGAGATTCTACTATCTTCACTACAATGGAACTGCTCCAATTATTTCTCTAATAACTGCATTTCTAATTGTTGTTGTTGTAATTGCATTTCTAATTGTGTCTTATCATGCGACCACTCATAAGGGATTGGTGCACTGCGTTTGTGCCAGTGTTGTAAATCCTTGATATCGAGATTGTCTCCTACTCCTACTGATAAAGAAAATACGTGTCTTATGTGACCATTCATCCACCTTAAAATCCAATTTATGCGGCACTGAATTTACATACTTGGTTACTTCCAAACATTCAGTTACATACTCTAACTATTATGCAGAAAAAGTTTCTTTCAATATTAAGTTCTACTTTACCATCACAAATCACATCTGAAACATTCCTATAGCAAAATTTGTTTTCTTAATACCACTTCATTTTGCAACCTATTACTTGACATGTCATTGGAAAATTTTAACAAACAAAATATTAAAAGCAGAAATTTACTAATTTACTACACATACCCGTATTGGTCGAAATATCCTCCCCGGCCTTCAGTTCCAAAATCTTCTCTGAAAACTATCTGCCAAAGAAAAAACAACCAAAAACTCGAAGTTTAAAATATGGCATATCAAGGCTGATTGATGTTGTAGCTGAATTGATATGAAACATAAACAAGATTCAACTACTATGATGATAAAACCAACTGAAGTATGAAATGTAGAGCACAATTAATAACGCCTTCTTAAATTTCAATAGTACCACTGATGCTTAACTCTCGACTGTCAACCCTACACAACCTTCACAACAGATTCTTACCTGCACATTAGCAATATTGTCGCGATTCCATAGAGGCAAGAACAAGCGATTTGCAAAACGAAGTACCAACTGGAATATAAGTCAAACAGATAGAGATTAGGAAGGGTTTTTTGATCGAGCATGAATTGTTCCATAATGTGATTGTGATCATTCAATTCACTACCATGTTCTGTACTAATTCCTTTCCCAAGTAGTGATCAATACGATAAATTTGGGGTTCTTCAAACAACCCCCCAATTTGGTTGCTGAGTTGCTCTGCAGATTCCAGATCCTTACCAAAAGGCTTCTCAACAACGACACGTGTCCACCCACCAAGATCAGCTACAAAATTGAAATATATGCAAGCATCAGTAAAACATTATTAAGCACTAACATAGACATAGACACTAGACACAACACGATATTACAATTGACAATTGACTATATGATACTGATATTTTAATCAATGGAAAAAGCTAATTGATACTGATACACTAACAGCGATGACTTAATTCAGCTCCATAATTAGCGAGAAAAAATCTCACAGAAAGTTGATAACTAATCTAGAAGGTTTCGAAATTTACACCAGCTAGGGTCCTTCTAAACAAATATGCAACCAGATGTTAAAAGATCGTCTAAAAAACAAGGTATGATTAATTAAATCATCTTACATTTATTCATGCAAGTAGTCTTGATCATCTTGGAAACCGATGGATACACCGAAGGAGGAAGTGCAAGATAGAAAAGGCGCCTAGAAGAGCCCTCTGTAGTGTTTGTTTCAGATTCATGTTTGGAAATCTCTTTATCCAACAAACGGAAATCATCCTCAGAATCATATGAGCCACTTACATATTTGACCTATAGGGTAGAAAAAGAGAACGATCATTTGAGCAAAAATATAAGATTTTCAGTGAGAAAATCGTAGAAAGTAATAAAATGAGTCAATGATGCCAACACTAACCAGATGCAAAAACTTCGATACAGCCTCCAAGTGTTCAGAGGAAGCATCTTTGTCCTTAATAAGATAGCTGCATATCAAATCACAACAAGTTTCCTATCATTTATTATACTCAAAAACAGTTGGCTTGGGCCTTACTTGCCGTCTCATGTTTATTGGAACCATGTGTTATAACAACATAATAGATTATAAAAATTTTTTAAAAGAAAAAACCTCACCCACGTAAGCGGTTTCTCAATTCTTCATCAGATATTTTTGTTCTTGCATAGCCAAAAATAAGAACTTCATCTTCTAGTAGGAATCCCTGCCAATAAAGCAACCAAAGTTTAGAAAAACGTTTGATTCTTGTGAGAAACAAACATCTTTTACTAAATATTTCAGGTAAAAAGATGAACTAGGAACAGATATTAACCGAGATTATCAAGTAGATATACAAATATCAAAACTAACAGTGAAAGCCTTAGGAACTAGGTGAGGTCTGCTAAGAAAATCAAACAACACACCACTGTATTATTATCAGTGTTGTGACCAATGTTTGTGTCAGTGCTTCATAAAATTCAACACAAAAACTAAGTGTTAGCGAACCTGCTTGTACAGATTGAAAAGTGCTGGAAATGTCTTCTTCTTAGCAAGATCACCAGAAGCACCAAGCACAACAATTGAGAGTGACCCAGTCTCAGGTCCATTTTCATTATCTACCGATAGAGGAGAATCATTCGTTAAAGCGAGTCTTTGCTCACAATGCCAATCAGTCGTTCCCATTCTCTAGCAGTACCAAAAACTAGTAATATAGTATAATCCACAGAACCTTGTATCTGGTTAGTATGATATAAATCAGATAAATTAGAATAAACCAAATTTAAACAAAATAGGGACTTGGATCCTCTGCATCCGACTGCAGAGGATCCAAGTCTATTAATATATACTATCAAAAATTTTGCAGAGGATCCTAGTCTATTAGTATATACTATCAAAAATTTTGTGACATTGTTTGGAAGACTTTATAAAAATAGTTTATGACATTTTTTAATTTTTTTAACTTATTTTTATAAATGCTTTAGTGAAAACAACTTATAACATATATAAAAACAATTTAAATATATTTTATCTTTTGTTACAAAATCAGCTTATTTCAATAAGCACTTCTGCTATAAACCGCAAATAAACTGTATACCAAACAAATCCTAAAAGTTTGATAACTAACTTCAATTTCACGAATATCAAGAACAATTATTCCCAAATTTTCACATCATACCTATCAAACAAAGCATTTTTATCATAAACGGATCAAAATCTCAAATTACAACCAAAATTAAACAAAACATTCATCAAATCACATCATCATCATCATAGTTATAATATTAAATTTAAATCTGAAAATGTAAAATTCAAAAATCGAGGAAAAACCAAAGGAAGAGATTGAAAATTACGCTGATAACGTTGAAGATGAAAAATCGAAATCCAAAGCTTTGGAAATTGTAAGGTTCGAAAATGGAAGAGTTAGTTGAAAAGTACTTTTAACCACTTAACATTTTGAGTCCAACCAACGCCACTGATACAAGTTGCAAGTCTTTTCAAATTTGCACATTACCCCCTCAAGTTCTCACAATTTATATTTATGCCTCGTCAATGATTCTCTACAGCTGGTTTTGTAATACAGTTGATTTTCTACCGTTAGATTGAAAGATAATTGCTTTTCTCCCTTTTTATCTAACGGCCTATATTTTGCCGGCACACTTTATTGAGAATTAACTTATGAATAAAATTCTAGTAGAGATACCAACATAGAGGAAGAATGAGACTTTTGACACCATAAGAAAGAAAAAAATATTTCATAAATAAGTTACTACAATAATAGGAGGCAATAATAAATTATTAATATATTAAGGTGAGTGGCTTGTTAATAATGGGGCATTTCATTTTTTTAATATATATTTGTAATCATGAAGTGAATCCGACAAAAGATAATGGTGGTAATATAATATATATATATATATATATATATATATATATATATATATATATATATATATATATATATATATATATATATATATATATATATATATATATATATATATATATATATATATATATATATATATATATATATATATATATATATTACCAGTTGATCAGAATCAGCAAGATGGTCGAATGATGATCTTCAGATGGACTGGAAAGTCGAGGAGAAAAAGGGAGATTGTACTTGCAAGACACTCTGACGATCAAGTAAATGTGAGAGTAAAAAGAGACACAAGCAAAATATTAGGGTTTAGTGATGAATAGTCAATATTTGATACCTGGTCCTCACATGAGTGAGGGTTTATATACTGTCTATGACGCTTGGCCATTGGTCCCTATTTTTGGACATAAATATGCGGGTCTGCAAAAATAGGTAACTGTCAAGACTTGGTCAAACCGGACAAGTGTATCCGCAGCTAGCCGTTAATTTCGAGGAGGAGGTAGGTTACGGGAAGCGGTCTGGTCGGTTCCTGGTTGTCTGGTCGACTTGAGGTCGGGCAGACTGAGAGGTGTTTGTCGATTGTCGTAGGTCAGTGCTGGTCTAGGAGGGCAAACGATCGATGGTGCCCGACGGAGGACGGGGGAGCCCGAATCGTGGTCGCACAGGTCGTGTCGAAGGAGGAGGTCAGACTGGGCCCACTCTAACCGTTGGCCCAGTCCAGATCAATAGCCCCCCAAGTCGTTGATTATGGGCACAGGAGTGGTGACTTTAACACCTGCTCGTGGAATGGGACGCTTCTTACGGGGAGCGTGAGCGTCGCTCGTTGTGCCTTTCTCGCGGGGAGATGATTAGTTGGTTGTTTGAGCTTCGAAAATTAAAGTGGTAGTTTGTTTTGGATAATGCGCCGACACAGTGGCACAATGATGGCCTACGGGCTAGGATGCAATGACGACGATCCTACGGTTTCCTAGGTGTGTGTCTCTCACGCGCGAGCGAGTTTAGCTATAAATACGAGAGAAGTAGGGTATTATGTATTTTTCATTCTTCTCTCGCATTGCTCGTTATTGCTCGCCTGTCGACCGTCGCTATTTCTTGAAGATTAATTGTTCGCCTCTGTTCCTTTCAACTTTCTTCCTTCTTTAATTGGTAAGATTCCAGATTTTCGTTGTTATTTAGCTGTTGTAGCCTAGATATTCACGGTTTTCTTCTTAGAAATACATGCGGTTAGGCTTAGGACCCTGTCTGTTAGGGTGTTCTTGGGAAGTGTTGGCGGTAGACGGTGTTTTGTAGTTTAGAATCGCCGGAGCCGCCGTGGATCCTCTCCAAATTTTTTCACGACGTGCCATAGATGGTCCTTGAGGATTTAGGTCACTTTGCTGACTGTTGTTCGCTTAGATGCCTTAGTGAGGATTCTGGTCGGGGACATGGTCCTCGTTTATCAGCGCCCTTTTACTTGATTAATGGTGGAAGGGTGGTTTTAACATTGATGTCGATCTCACCTCTATCCTCTGCTTTTCAGGTACTATGGTCGACAATGTCGAAGGCGACATCTTCGGGGAACCTGTTGAGCCTTCTAAAAGTTTTATGGATGAGACTCGTAGCACGTCGAGCATCTTGGAGATATATGAGGAAGAGTCGAACCATTCTGATCAACAAGTAGAGGGGAGGATGTGGAGATGGCCTCCCCTAATCAGGGTGTCCTGTTTGCGCCTAACAAGGATGAAGACCCAAGAACGTGGGCCTTGGAGGATCCTTGGGATCATGGGTGCTATTTTATCAGGCACCGGGATGACATTTTTACTGATGTATCTTGGTGACGATGACACAGAAGACTGGTCGGTGTGGGTCCCTAAAGAGAGCGGCTGGATCTACTCGCAATACGACAAATGACAGATCTTGATGTATGATATAGTGTTTCGAGAGATGGGCCTCCGTTTTCCTTTTTCAGATTTCGAGCTGGCCATTTTCAGGCATCTCCAACCGGCTCCCTCTCAACTGCACCCAAACGGGACCGCTTTCATGCGGGCGTCGTGTGTGATCACTTGAGGATAGGCGCCACTATCCCTTTGTTCTTCTACTGCTTTCACCTTCAAAGGAGCAAGGTCGATGGCAAGTGGGGATGAGTCTCTTTGAAGCAAGCCAATGTGAAGTTGTTCAAAGCTTATTTAGAGTTTGTCCGATTTTTCAAGGACAAATATATGCTCGTTTAGCCTGTCTCGGACAGGGCTATGTTGAATGTCTTCTGGCTCGCCATGGCGTATGACGAGAATGGGGCTCCCATTTTAAATGAGCAAGGGGACCATCAGAGCAAGTTGGTCCGTAATTTCCCCTTCCAGTGGACCAGGAAGCACTTTAACAGTAAGTTGGACACCTATGTGTGGAAGGAAGGGAAACTCGGTGACGAGGACCAAAGGAGCTTCGATCTTCTGACCACCTTCGTCACGGGAATCCCTCGTGTTCAACACGCGGGCCGAGGAGGAAATCCAGTTAGGGACAAAGACGGGCAGACCGTGTATGAGCCTGACTTGATATGTGTTAAGGAGCTCCTCGAGAACGAGGACCCAACTAAATACTTGAGTATTTACTTTATGTTTTGAATAATTATACATGGTCGACATTTTTAAGTCCTCGTTTGTTAACTCTGGTTTATTGTTTGTTTTGCAGATAACATGAATCTCACCCAGGAACGCATAGCCAGGAACCTTGCGGCGAAAGCAAAGAGGGCGTTGAAAGATGTTTAGGGCGGTACAAAGACTGCTCCAACGTCGGGGTCGGGAAACTTGTCCTCGGGTCCGGTTGTTGGCGCCCTCTCTCCCGCTCTTGTGTCATCAAAGGCGAAAAGACCACGCGTCGAGGGGAACATTGATCTGACTGGAGAAAATGGGAAAGGGAAATATGATTTGCCCCCCTGCTGGCTGGAGAAGGCTTTCTTCGAGGGTGCTGCTCTACAACTCCAACGGGTTGAGTCTCTTCATCTTGAGGGGCTAGAATGCTCAGAGAAAAGGGTGACTCTGGCGCAGGATGCTGGTGGCCTGATAAGGATACTGGAGATGGAGGTCGCCTACACCGAGGGGAGCCCTTCCCAGGAAGTTAAGCTGAAGAAGCTACGGGCCAAACTGAAAGCAGTTGAGAAGGGGCAGAGCGATGAGGAGAAATCTCGGAAGCTATCCTAGGAGCACAAGGTTTGGACGCTTGAGAAAAAGGCTTTAGAGGAGAGGGAGGCGGCTTTGTTTTTCGAGGTTGTGCCTGCTCAAGACGAGCCAGAGGATACAAAGGACTTGAAGACTCGAGCTGAGCTGGTTGCTCGTTTTTAACTGACGATTGATAACACTATGGTAGCCTCCGAGGGGAACTTCGAGAATACGCTGAAGTAGCTCCGTGTTTTGAACCCTGGGGTCGAGTTTAATACCTCCAATATGGGGGTCAATTACTATGTGGCCGCCAGAAAGATCTTGGTCCCCGACTATCTTAAGGAGTTCGCTGTCCAGCCCGTGGGGGGACCCTCTCAACTGTCGGCCGTTGTCGAGGAAGAGACTGGAGAATGATGATTGATAGTTTTTTATTTCGCTCCGTCCTGCGTGCCATAATGTTGTAATCCTTATTTTCCTGGCTTTTGCCCGTTTATGTAAGTTCTGAACAAGTGTGTCCATTGTGGTCACAAAAATTTTCTTTTGGACGGACTAAAGGCCTCCCTTGTTGTAATATTTGTACAATAGCGGCCTTGGCGGTCGTATATTTTAATTTTCTGGCCATGGTGGTCGTTTGTTCAAAATATTTGACTTTTTTTTGTATGTAT